AATATTAAGAAAAATAATTGTTTGATATGATATTTTTTAGGAAAAAAAAAATCTAAATAGTAAAAACCTATGGTAAAACTTACAAAAGAATACAATCTTAAAAATTTTAAGGTTGTTTTCTTTGGCACAAAGTTTTCGAAACTCACTGTTCCGTTATTGTTTGGCAAAAATGAGGCGTCAAATTCCCTCTACGTCGACAGCCTTTGATCCTACTCATTTGCCTACACTGCTTGCCTCATTTATTTTTTACTCAAATTTCCTAGATCAAAATAAACATTCACCTAAAATAAACATCTACCTACCCTTTCTCGTTACAACCGAAAATGCAGCTCGATGTACCGGTGGAATGGGTTGGTGATTTTAGAGAAAGACCCATATCGCCGGTATGAGTTGGACTGTTCTGGTGAGACTGAAACTAACTTTGATAAGAGTCCCACCATGATGGAACTTCTGAAGAGAAAGAAAAGGAAATAAAAAATTCACGAAGAATAAATTAGAGAAGAAGGGGATGGAAGAAGGAAGATGAAGAAAACCGTGAAGAAAAAGAAAAAAAAAATGGTGGGGATTGAAGATGGCAATGGTTGTACAAAAAATTATTGTAATAAATATAATATAATATATTTCTAATTAAAATTAATATATTATCAATAAGTAAAATAATAATATTATAATATTCAAAATTATTTAATCTAACACTATTATTATCTATCAATCTAATACACATCAAAACTTTTCAAATTCAAATAAAACCTACCAATCCAAAGTAATATATCTTCTCAAAACTCTTTAAAAATTCAAATCTAAACAAAACTAAAACCAAATATTTTCAAACATTTCCCAAAGAAACGCATCTTAAAAATTCTGAAAAGTCCAAAACTATTAAGTATAGAATTTTTTAACAAGACAGATATAAATTGTTTTGTGATAGCCAAAGTACTATTCATTTTGGGAAGAATGTTCTCTCAAGATCCAAACATATCGATATGCGATATCATTAGATCAGAAATACGGGAGACTTAATCTTTAAAACTTGATAAAATTCATACAAAATAAAATGGATCAGACATGTTGACAAAGATTCTTTCAAAGAATTCCTTTGATTTCTGTTGAAAAACTACTAGAATGATGGAGCCCCCATGTTCTTTGGAGGAGGAGATTTGATATGAATCGCTCCACATGGCAATAATAATAATAATAATAATAATAATAATAATAATAATAATAATAATAATAACAATAACAACAACAACAACAACATAAGATTGGTCAAGATATAATAAAAATTAAAGTTATAATTAAGGCCTTAATCAAGTTGTGAGTTAGGGGCTTAATCAAGTTGCGGGATTGAGGCTCTAATTGAGTTGTGGTCAGTAAGGAATTTATAGAGCCATTTAATGACCACATAGGTATGTGCCTATAAATAGGCTTGCTTTACAACACAACCAAGATTTAAAGTTTGTCCCGTGGATGTAGCCCAAAGCAAAGAAAGGTAAACTATGTAAATTTTTTATGTCGTTTTTACCTTGTTGAGTTTGTTTTTCTTCCAAAACTATGTTCAACACACATTTTATAATATAAGAAAGACTAATGCTGATGGTGCATAGGGATTTAAAGACGGATGGGCGAATCATCAATGGTGGGAAAAATCCACATTTCTTGTTGTACGTTTGTATAATTCAACGGTGATGGCAAGCTCAATAACTCTTTGATGACAGAGTTTGTGTTGTATAATGTTATTTATTTGCGAGAAAGTGATCATCCAAGCTGCTCCATTGATGGTAGTAGAGTTCAACTTTCCCCGGATTCTAATGAGATTTTACCTTAGGCTAATGATGTTGTAGTTGTAGAAGTATGTCCAGAGATCAAAACCAAAGTAGTTGTCACACAAGTTTCGCTAGGAAAGCAAGGGAGTTTGAGGATGATGAATCAAAAAAGCAAGGCAATGAATGGAATTTATGTAACTTCACACACTCGTCTGGCTAATGGAAGCCATTGAGGAAGTGGCGGAGTTGGCCCTTTTTCATAGCTAAAGAGGTGGAGATTAGGTGGCGGATATTACTGCGGTGATTAGGATATGGCTTGACCTCTTTTTGTCTTGAGCAGTCATAAAATCTCCATGACTGATGATGATCGTCATCATCGACTTTTAACAGAATGTCCCGGAATCAGGTTGAACTCTTTTTCCTAGTAAATTTTACCTTTGCAAGATCAAATCTTACAATACATTACCTATGTTCTAAGATATTTCAAAAAAAATATCATAAATTTTCATTTCAATCCACCATCGTTGCCCATTTTTTGAGCTTAGAGACAATGAACATGAATTATTCTAGCACGCTTTCGAGCTACCTTTTCATTATTACGTGCGGTGGTAATTATGGATTGTCTTGAAATGTAATTATTCAAATTAAATGATAGAGATTTGGAAGGATGTTTTGAATCCAAATTGAAGTTGTTAGAGGATCATTTTGGTTTGGATCAATCATTTATTATTGTATATTATGTTGTTATTTTCTCATGAGTATAAATATATTTATATATTCGTCAAAAGCTTAACCTTTGTTGGCATTTCTATAAAAGACAATATCATTTAGATAGGTAGTAGTGAAACAATGTCGTTTAGGCAAGTAATAGGGAACAATGTCGTTTATGGGTTTGCAACTCTCGATGATGCTATAGTTGATATAATAAGCTTAAAACCTTTCATCTTTCTTAATGCAAGCCGTCGACAAGTTTGAGCAATTCCAGCGCCACGCAGTGCGTGTGCTTACGCTAGGAAGAGAAATGCAAAAAGGACCAATCCACTTTCCTAAGCACTTGAGAAAACCAAGGATGCTCCTTCTTTGCTAAGCAACGCCAACTTCGGCGACGACCTTTTTGGGGAAATTGGCAAAGCAATCGCCTTAAAAAGACAAGAGTTCTTCAAACATAGGTTAATTAAGCCTAACTCGAACAAAAAAGCGTGAATATGATGCGGAAACCATCAATGAATTGGAGTCCGAGGAAGTATGTTGGTGATCTGCATCATGGGGATAAATAGGAAGACGACTACATTGTATCTAATTAACGGGGTATACGAAGTGGTAGAACTGAGGATGGGAATGTCAAGTGTTGTGGCATCTTATGTTCATGGGGATAACGAGTTGAAATCGAGTAAGAGGGCTTCGGATGTGGTTTTCATTCAAAAGATGATGATGACTAAGATGATGCATAATGGGATTAAAGTAATGGTGATGGAATCTTCGACTTAAGGGATTGTCTGTGATGAGATTGACTTTGATATAGGCGTGTTCACTAACTTGCTGAGGGGGGTGATTTGGATTTTCACGGTACCGAGGAGGAGTATCCGGATGCAAAGGCTAAACTTTTTCGAGAATGGTGGACCCTGCACGCCACTGCAAGATTGTGAACATTGATTATTCGAATGTTGCATTTTTTATAGCATAGGGTATCCCCGGTGAGCTTGTTGTAATGTATGCAATGGAGAATAACAATGCCGATGTTTATCTTTTGAAATTTGGATTATCTCTGTTTGAAATTCCAATGTTGGTTAATACGCTTCAAGGAATATTGAAAATTTCTTCGAGGATACTTGGGAGGCATAATACATACAAAATTCTTGTAGCCGTGGCTGTTGGGATCACAGTTGGCTCGCGGCTTTGGAGGTGGATGACATTGTTAGAGAAATTGAAGAAATTAATTCGGTGTCAGATAGATGTGAGTTGGTTGATGATAAGCATGCATTTGGAGTTGTCAATTACACATATACACCAAATGCTTTGTCTAGACTTCTTGATTACATGAAGGAGCTTGCATCGAAGAGGCAGTAGTAGGTATATGTTATTATTAATTAAGAGGTTGAAACAATTAAATAGGAATTATATCAAATGATTCATGTCTATATGTCCTTGGCTATTATGTTAGAAATAATATCTTATTAGAGCAACTGCAACTGTCTTTTTTTATAAGGCCTCAACTAAAAAAAAAGGTTTTTTATTAAAAAAAATTTAAAATACTAATATATGACTCTTATGTGGAAGAAAAAAGGGGATGGGCTTGGGATCAACTTGGTGCAGGTGAATTAGAGGGCAACTTTTGTTCAATCAATTCGTCTGCCTCAAGGTTATAAAGCACAACTATTTGCGCAACATCAAGAAGCGGTTCGAAAAGATGTGGAGCATGCCTTTGGTGTATTACAAGCTCAGTTTGCCTTAATTAAAACTCCATCACTTATTTAGGATATCAATTTACTAGGTAAAATAATGAAGGCATGCATCATATTGATTGTAGAAGATGAAAGAGGCATTTACATGCATTATTACGATACATCTCAATATGATCAAGTGGAGACAAGTGCTAACTCGAATTGATCATACAACAATACGAGACATGCAACTATGGAGCAATACCTACAGAATAGAATGCGACTCCGAGCTAGGGAAACACATCATCAACTCAAAGCGGATTTAGTTGAACACATTTGGGATAAGTTTGGTCAATCGGGTATTTAATTTATTTGAAAAATATATGGTAATATTATGTATTTTTTTTATTAAATTTGAATTTAAACTTTAATTATTATGCAAGTGTGAAATTATTATTTTTATTTGTTTTATTTATTTATGCTAAATAATTTTTTTATTTTTATTAAATATTATAAGAATAAAATATGATTGAAAAATATAATTTTATTTTATAAATACATAAAATATTAAATAATGTGAAAAAAATAGAGATTTTAAAAAAGATTCTTTTGAAAGTATGATTGGAGTTCTTAGTGACTAGAGGAGAGACAAGTTAATGTGGTACAAAAAAAAAAAAAAAAAAAAAAAAAAAACCTTGTATAAAGATGAAGGGGGACGCGAGCGGGAATCCCAAAATCTAATATTTTCTATCAGAGCGAATTTTGGGGCTTACGAAGCAGTCTCCAACACGCTCTGTTGATATCCTAATTTTTTTAAGGAGTGAAATGGGAGTATTATATAACATTAGGTTAAAGAAAAAAGAAAAAGAAAACCGTAACACTAACACCGCACGTGATAACCGCCGCCCCCACCTCTTTTTGGTTTTTTACCTTCTTCTCTGCCGTAGCAAAGCAATTTCTAGGTTTTGTTTTAATTTTTTTCCCCTTTTCTTTCGTCGCCGGCGAGGTGGTCGCCTTCCTTTTCTTCGGCCGACGAGACGTCTTTACGGAGCCTCTTTCCCCGCCCGTCGACGGGTTCTCGCTGTTGGGGTAAAAAAGAAAAAGGTGAAAAAGGTACAACCAAACACACTCTAACTTTCCGGCGGTGCATCGCCGCCTCCGCTCACTGCTCCATCTGCGCCGTCTTCGGACGTTTGTAAATTTGAGTGATAATAGGTGCTAGAGGAAGAGATGTTCTTCTTGAGTGAAATAGAACACACACTGCGACTGCCTCCTTATCTCCTGAATCGGCCTCTCAACGAAGCTATTAAAGGAGAGCTCGACGCTCTTTTTCTAGACAAGGTTTGTGAATTCTGGTTGCTTCTCCACCTTTGGTTATTATTGATTACTTGCTTGCTTGATTACATTTGGGGTATTGATGACAGGTTGTTGAAAAGCTAGGGTTATGCGTAAGTGTGTATGACATTCGATCCATAGATGGAGGATTTATATTCCCTAGCCATGGCGCTTCAACTTATACGGTAGGCAATTGCGAGAACCAGGGCTGTATATTTTTGCCTTCAATATGATGTTTCCTAGTATGTGGATGACAAGCTTGTTGGTAATGTTTGTGAACTTACTTCAGATTTTTGTGCGAAATTGTTGTCTTCAAATGTACATTGTACCTTAGATCGTCTAGTGAACTGTCTAATGCCTGCAATGGATGTTTTGTAGATTTAGCCTTGATTTTACTGACTATCTTTCATTGTCTGTTGAAACATGGCAATGAAAATTCTATCCCTTCAGGTAAAGTTCAGATTGGTGATGTTTCGTCCGTTTGTGGGAGAAATTATATCAGCCCGCCTGAAAGAATCTACAAAAGATGGTTTACACTGTATGTTCCCCAATTGCTTTGTACAACATTACATAGGTTTTGTGCCAATTTGATTACTTGTCAGAACCCTTCTGCAACTACTTTCCTCCGTAGAAGTTACTATTTCTTGAATCATAGTTAGATTAAATTCTCCTAGGATCATAGTTTGAGATTAATTACAATGCCTTGTTGTGAAATTATCACTTAAATCACATCCATCAAAGGTATTGTGTTTTATTCTCTTGTGTTGATAGCTTTGTGTGAGTTATTATGAGCATCTTCTTCCCTAGAGAAAATCAATGTAGGGCTAAATTCATATGGAGAAATTTTTGGGTAGATATCTGTGCTTCATTGAGTAATACTTTTGTTAAGATGTTATTGCTGATTCTTGAACAAACCTGGCAGTGACACTTGGATTTTTTGACGACATCTATGTACCTGTCCCTTTGTTGCCTGTTCCAAATCACTCAGAACCTGATCCAGAACATAGGTGAGCATCTGAATGCGGTTTTAAGTTTATCTGGACATTACATCGTCTAGTCTTAGGTTTCCCATGCTGGAAATTTTTCGCCTGTGTGAGGTTCATCTTAAAATGTTCAATTATCATCTTTCAGTGATGTAGTTTTGTGGACGTGGGAGTATAGTGGGCAAAGTTTCCCAGTTGATGGATCATCTGAGGTTGCTTGCATTCTATTTCTAATACTTGCTTTAGCAATAGCGTGGACTTGTAATGTAATACAGTTCAATGACTTTTTATACTCGGTTGCAGATAAGATTTAAGGTTCACAGCGTAGCTTATCCACCTGTACCATTAGAACAAGGAAAAGCCTCAGATGAAAATGATTCGGAGCAAAAGATAGTAAAGCCATTTGCACCTATGATGATCATTGTAAGTGTAGATGGTAACTTGTCATCATTTAAGTATTTCCAGAAATTGGTTTCATGAGATATTAGCTCTTTACTGCTTCGCAATTTAATATGTACAAGTGTGACAGTACTGAAAGAATCTTCTCGTATTACTTTAGGGTGTGTTTGTTTGGGGGTTTGGATTTTAATTTGGGATTTGAATAGTAAAAATTTTGAATTGAATAGTTGTATGATGTGATATAAATAGGTGTTGATGTGGTGCTTTGAATATAAGATTGATTTTGAGTGTAATATAAAAAATGTAAAAATGGGTATTTGATTTGATGTTGGGGGAGGAGAGGGGCGAAAATTTGATGAATAGTAGATTTTTGGGAAAATTCCATAAACGAACACACATTCATTCATCAACTTTTTTATATTTTTATGTATGCATATTAATTTATTTTCTTCTTCAAACAACTCAATCCTTTTATCATATTTGGATTAGTTAAAATGAGCATATTCCTTTTACATATGTTTAAGAACAATTTATATTGAAAACTTTCTTTTCATTGCAATATAGTTGCCAGCTATGCATGCGCCTTTCTTTCCGATATGAATATGGCATTGCTAAGTGCCTTTCGCATAGCTATAAGCCTTCTTTCTTTTTACACATTCATATTGAAAATGCCATCAATCCATACCTGCACACGGAACAATTGCCAGTTGTCCCCATGTTCACTTCACATTTTCGATTCAATATTATCCAGACTGAATATTAACAGCTTGGAGGATGTGATTCTTGTTTGTAATCAATTATCCTTGATCACTAAGAAAGTTTGATGTTTTTGATGAATTTGTTGGCAGGGATCTATTGATTCAGATGGTTTAGGCCCCTTGGCTTGGTGGGAATGAGAGAGAGAGAGAAGAGAGAGAGATCCAGAGGTATTATAGTGTGTTTGGACAAGTTTTTGGTTAAATTTAGGGCATTACATATTGATAAGAATTAAATGCTTAATGAAATTATAATATTAGTGGATATTATGCTTACTAATGCAATGATCCATGCTAATTGTTTAACTTCCCTGTGCTTGCTCCTTAGATGTTTTTGGAATTTGGAGAAATTGTTAATAAAGTAAAATATTAAGTATTTGATAACAGGGTTGCTAATTTGTGTTTTTGGGCCGTGTATCGGGTTTAGCTGTTGTTATAATAAAAAATTTACAAATGTTAATATAATCTGAATACTGCATTGTTGGATAATTTTTTAGTCTTGGATCTACAAAATTTATTTGATTTGAATATCAGCTTTCCTCACTTCAAAAATATTGTGTATTTTGTAAGACATTCGTGAAATGGAGGAGTGTCTTTAATTAAGGTTTTGATTTCGTGCATTAGACGTGAGATATGATAGTATTCGCATAGGACACAAGAAATTCTTGTACATCTTTAATTTCTGTTAATTACTTTGGCATAAATATTTTCTCTGCTGCTTGTTGGATACCAGAGTAGAGCTGTTAACAATTCGAGCCCAGCCGAGCCGAGCTTCGTTAACGTTCGCGAACAAGGCTCGGGCTCGGGCTCATTCGTTAAGCTTTCGAGCTCGTTCGTAGTGTTTGAGCTCAGCTCGTTAAGAATTTTTGTTGTTTGAGCTCGTGATCGTGTTCGGCTCGATTAAGCTTGTTCGAGTTCGTTTGTCTCATTTTTTTTTAATTTATATATAAATTATAAAGAAAATTTAAATTTATTTTATTTATATATTTTAAATTAATATTTTATTTATTTATAAATTATAATTTTATATGTATATATAATATTTATAATAAATATATTATTTAAACGAACCTTCGCGAACAAAGCGCGAGCTCGTTCGTTAACCAAACGAGCCTGTTTATGTTGTTCAGCTTAACTCGTTAACGTTTGCGAACAAGCTTTAACCAGCTGAATCGAGCCGAGTTCACGAACGGCTCGGTTAAGCTCGGTTCGTTTAACAGCTCTATACCAGAGTGAAATGTCAGCGGTTCAACAAGATGATTGAAGTACGTAGGGTATATATATATATATATTTTGTGTTTGTTATTGTATTTATCAATAATTGTAGTTAGTCGCGTAATCAGAGCTGTCTAAGCATTTACCGTAATGACAATTTAGCTATACAACAATGTAATTATTATTGATTAATAATGTTATTATATAAAGAAAAATTAAAATTTTAAATTACTAAATTTGTTTGTGTTTCGTTTGCATGTACACACACAATTTTTTATTATGTAAATTCAAATTTTATTTATTTTTTCTTTATATATATAATATCAAATACTCCCCCTATATCATGTTGGTCTTCACTTTCGAAGCATTCGTGGCGAAAAAAAAATATGGACCTCTAAATATATATATATATATAATATAAATAATATTTTTTTTATTTATAATAAAATATAAATAATTAAATATAATATTTTTAGATGAAAAATAGTAAAAACAAAATATTTCTAAATTTTTTAGACAGAAAATTTGAATTTAAGATCTCGATATTAAAAATTTGTTTTACACCACCAAATTACCAACTTTTTATATTTACCGGTATCAAATAAATTATATATATATAAATTATACATATATAACATAAATATATAAGGTCTCCATATATAAGAATACTTACATCTTTTTTATATAGATATATAGTATAATAGAATAATGTAATATAAGGAAAAAAATATAAAGTAAAAGTATTTTAAGTATATAATTAATAATTATTTTTATTAAAAAAGAAAATGTTGATTTAAACATACACAAAATAAAAAAATTTATTCTTATAGGAGAGAGTATTATTTAAACAAAAAATTAAAAATCTCAAATTGATGTATTATTATTTGTTTAGATCTGGTCTGTTTTGGTATTTTGGTATGTTTTGAAGATAGAAAAATGTTGAATTAAAATACCTCATAGTATATTGATATTTGGGTATTATTGTATCGATATTTTAATCTTTGTTATGTTGATATATACTTGTACCAAAATAATAATAATTTTTTTATTTTTTTCTAAATTATAAAATTATTTTTAAATTGATATTTGGTATAAAACAATATACATCGACATTATATTAGTATAATGAATTATGAGTACAATATGATATATTTCTTTTATTTCAATTCAATGTATTTTTTAAGTAGTAAATTTAAAAATATATTCTATTAATTAATGAAAATCTGTAAGATAATTTTAGTGTTTTTATCTTTTTAAAGTACAAAGAAATGAATATTTTTATATAAGTTAGTGATATTTTGGTATTTACATATGATTATTTTTATTATAATTGAAAATGAATTTCATCATGTTTTTAGGTACGATATCAATATTTATTTAACTTAAAGAAAGTTTTAAAATGACATACTGTATGATTCAGTATTTTCGATATATCATCAAATCATTTTTAATCTTAATTAGTATTTAATTAGAACAAACAAAATTAAATATAATCTGAAAATATATTTAGACATAATACAAAAAATGGGACTAAAGGGTCGGGTTGAGCTAAAAAAGTTTTAAAAATAAAAATAAGTTTAATATATTAAACAATATATTTTTATCATTGATAAATATTACTGAAGTGTTTGGTTAAGGTTAAAAGTTTGAATTTTGAATAGTAAAATTATTTAATTTAATGTAAATAAAAATTAATGTATTGTTTTTAATGTATAATTAAATTTATATTATAAAAATTAAGAATTTGATTAAGAAAAAATTGGTGAATAATATTTTTTTTAGAAAAAACTAAAGTAAACACATAAATCGTTATTTTGTATTTTAAATAATTAATACTAATATTCATTTCGTTCCAAGATAATTGACTATTTTCATTACTAACACAATATGAAATAATATTTAATTAGTTAATAATAGTGAATTATGATATTATTTTATTATTTTTATATAATTAATAATATGGATAGTGTTAAAATAAATTTAATATATATAATTAAAAAATTAAAATATGAATTTAAATATTTTAAAAATTATATCGTAATAAAAAATATATGCAAAATGAATATCATTACGTAAAGAATAAATTTTCTTTATAATACAAATAAATAAAGAAATACTTTTATATATTTATAGTTAACATAAACTAATTTTATAAAAAATATGAAGTTTTAAATGTAGATAAATGTTGTTTTATTTATATTTATTAATTATGTTTTGATTTAGTAAATTTAACCCCAAAAAAATGTCACTATATTGTTTGTTACAAGACAAATGAAGTAATATTTTACGAACAATTTTTATTTATATTTAATTTTTTTATTTGTAGTATTGTTATAAAATATACCTATAATTTGTCTAATTACAAAAATTAGGGATGTCAACGGGCAGTTTGGGGACGAATTTTACAGGCTCCAAGATCCGCCTCACTAGAACATATTAAAATCCAAAATCCGCCCCACTCCGCTTCGACCCGATTCCAGGACCAGTTCCGCCCTGAACTCGGAGGGTTGCGGGCTAACTCTACGAACCCGCTTGTTTTTTAGAGAAGAATAAAATATAATTTTTTAAAATAATTTAATACTTAAAAAAAAGTATGCCTTAAAGTACTTTAAAAAATTATTTTAAGTATTAAAATTAAGTATTAATTTTTAAAAAATCAAATATTTACAATAATATGTAGTGATGACGGTCTGTAGTACTTCCGATTATAAAAAGAATTATAGGAGAAACAAATGTGAAAGGCAAATTTGATTTAAAATTAAAATTCTATTTTATGTTTACAATTTTTTAAATAAATAAATAATATAATTTATATTGTATAAAAATATAAATAAATTATAATAATTGTTAAAATATCTGAGTTTGGGTCCGGGTCCGAGAAGAGACGAGTTTTTAGTAAAACTCGTAATCTGCTCCGAACCCGACCGGGTCTAAAATACAAAATTCACAATCCGCTCCAAACCAATTTTTTTAAACCCGATCCAACCCCATTAAAATTGGGTCCGGGGCGTGTCCGGAGCTAACGGGCCTAACAAAAATTATCTACATTAAAATTATTTAATATTTATTTTATTCATAAAATATTAAATATATAAAAATATATTATTCTCGTATCAATTATATTTGAAATAATTAATTTTTAATATATATTTTATTAAAAATATGTCCAAAAGAGATAAAGAATATAGCATAATTGTCAATTGAACGTGGGTTGAGGAAGTACATTAATAGCAAAAACCGAAATCAAGAAAGTGTTTGGCAAATAACTTTTTTGAAGACCTTTTAGCTTATTGAACAGCTTTTAATTGTTTGATCGGTCAAAAAGCTAATTTAGATGTTTGTAAATTAGCTTTTTAGAGTAGTTTTTTGGATCCAAAAAACTAATTTATGAAAACCTAATTTACCCGGCGTTTTGAAATAGTTTTTTCTGTAATTTTTTTTATTTCCTTATATGCCCTTAAAAATTTATTATGCATTTTACACAAATAAATATATTTTGATTATTTATTAATTATATTAGAATATTTTATTATATTATTGTTTTACTTTTATAAATTTAAAATAATTAATTTTTATATAAAAATTATTTTAATTATAAAATATATAAATTTATTAAAATCAATATAAAATAGAAAATATAAATATTAATAATTTATTTTCATATTAAAATTACATTATATAAATTTTATACTAAAAATAAATTAAATTTATTAAAAATTATAAATATAGTGAACTAATTGATAACTAATATAATAAATATATACATGAAACATTTATTATTTTATATTTTACATCATTTTTAATAGAAAAAACTATTTATATATTTCAATAAAAATATATTATTTTTTAAATTTAACTATAATAAATATAAATACTTTTTATAACATTTTACAATTTTCAATAACTAATAAAAAAAACTTCAAATATTCTAAACTCAAAACAACATAATTAAATATATTAAAAACAAAAATAAAATAGAAATATCTTCGATTGTCATTTTACGTATAAACAGCTAATATCAAACAGTTACTTTACCAAATATTTTAATACAAATAGTTAATCGAATCAGCTAGTTAAATGAGCTATTCAATCAGCTAATTGAATGACCTCACACCTATCAGCTAATTTCCAACACGCACTCAAAAAACAAAGAAACAAATTAATCATACACAACAATTGTACCTTTAATATTTTATTATAATAATAAAATAAGCTCTTCCTTTGAGGAAAATTATCACCAGGTCCCGAGATCAATAAATCCACACCCTTGATGCCCGCGGTATTGACTGGCGGGCGCTGTGCTCCATGGACCTTCCAACCTTGAACCTTTATTTTCATTTATTTATCAATTGAAAGATGAGTTCGATACGTAAACGTAATGCTAGTAATCACCCAATCAAGATATTCAAGAAAACGAAACGAGGGAATGCCCGCTTCTTCAGTGCCTTCCTACACCCGCGCTTCTGGAAATCCATTCATGGCGGAAATTGAAGAAATCAATGACCTACACTTGAAGAAAATCGCACAACTCAGGAAACCAAAGGAAAAAGGAAAAAGAGAAAGGTGAAACTTGCAGAGCAGGTAGAAGAATCAATCCATACAGCCAATTCTCTCTTCGAATTTTTTCGATCACAATTCGCACTCGCCATTGCGGATTTCAATCTGGATTGTGTTGAATCCCTAGGGTTTTTTTTTTTAATTTCCCCAATTTGAATCTCCAATTTGTCGATTTTGCGTTCATATTGTGATATTTTGGTTAGCCTCGTGCATGCGCTCGGTTATTATTAGGGCACAGAAATGGCGGAAAATTGGGGGAAAATATACATCTGATTTTGATTTCGGATTTTGATTTAGGGCATAGAAATGAGCAGTGTTCGTTTCGTATTACAAGTTTCTTGAATGAAATTCGATTATTACAATGTCGAAAATCGGACCTCTTTCTCAGAAATCACTGTTCTATTTGTTCTTGATGACTTCAACGCTGCTGATGATGTCGATGCTGTTAGTAGTGCTAAGGCCAAATGGTCGGATTTCTTCGCTTGATCTTAGGTTATTCCCAAGAGCTAATGAGAATCTTGTTGTAAGATCATCTTCTGTAGAAATTAGCAATGAAGAAGAAGAAGATCAATTAGGTTTGAGAGATTGTGAAATTCTCAAGGTGTTCATGTATGATTTGCCACCCCAATTCCATTTTGCTCTCTTGGGATGGAAAGGCGGCGGCAACGGCGCGTCGGTATGGCCCGATGTCCGAGCCTCTGAGGTCCCCGAATACCCCGGCGGATTGAATTTACAGCACAGCGTCGAATACTGGCTGACATTGGATCTCTTGAGTTCGGAGTTTGAAAGAAACTTGAGCGGTCGTAGCGCTGTAAGAGTGCATGATCCGCGTCTAGCTGATGTTGTGTTTGTCCCATTTTTCGCATCGATTAGCTACAATAAGTTCTCGAAGGTTAAGGTAGGACAGAGGAGCGTGGACGATTTATTACAGGAGAAATTGGTTCGATTCTTGACGAGCCGGGAGGAATGGAAGAGGTCGGGTGGCAAGGATCATATAATCGTCGCTCATCATCCGAATAGCCTTTTGTCTTCGAGGATGAAGCTGTGGCCGGCAACGTATGTTCTTGCTGACTTCGGGAGGTACCCTCTGTCCGTCGCTAATGTTGAGAAGGATGTGATCGCGCCGTACGTGCATCTTGCGCAGAACTATTTGGATGATCGATCAGACTTCGATAGCCGGCCGACTCTGCTCTACTTTCAGGGTGCTATATACCGAAAAGCTGTAAGTCATGCTTGTCCATTGTAATTTGTTCGTATTTATAGGGTGTGCCGTATGAATATATATTTTGTGCTGTGATCAATAGTAACGTATGTTGTTGGTTTATCTGCTGTACGAAATTTACGAAATTGCGCAAAATCCTCTATTATTTTAAAATTGTGTTAGACTCCATTATAGTTTTAGAAATCTTGCGTCTAACTCCTCTTCTGTCATTAGTTAATGGTGATTTAGTAGTTATGTAATTTCTAAATTACTTAATAACGGAAGAGGGGTTAAATGCAATGTTTTTTAAACTACGAGGAAGTTGACACAATTTTAAAACAACGAGAAGTTTCGCATACTTTTTATAAACCACATATGGGTTTTATACTATCTTGTCTTATATTCCCTCCGTCCCTTTGGAGTGACCTTAGGGATTAATAGTTATTAGTATTTTATTAGTCAGTTGAAGTGTGTAAAAACTTTTACGTAGAAAGTAATTGTATGTTTGTAATTTAGTTAAAAGTTAAAAAAGTATTTTAACATTAGTGTGTGATTACTTTTTCTAAAATAAAAAATGATACTTTGGGGAGGAACGGACAAAAATGGTAGAAATAGTACTTTTAGTCCGTGGAGAGACTATTAAAATACATTAGCACTATCGACATGTGATGTGCTGTTGCACCGAGGCAAATTACAAAATTTAGCACAGTAACTGCGGCCATTGTAATAACCTTAACCGAACCTTATTAGTTCCTCTGTTTCTTGCATTCAGGGCGGAACTATTCGACAAGAGCTTTATTACATGCTGCAAGATGAAAAGGACGTGCATTTCGCGTTCGGAAGCATAAAAGGGGACGGCATCAGCAACGCATCCCTCGGGATGCAGCAGTCGAAGTTTTGCCTCAACATCGCCGGCGACACTCCCTCGTCCAATCGTCTGTTCGACGCCATCGCCAGCCACTGTGTTCCCGTAATAATCAGCGACGAAATTGAGCTTCCCTATGAAGACATCCTTGACTACTCCGAGTTCTCCGTATTTGTCTCCCGAGAAGATGCCCTAAAAGAAAACTTCCTCATAACCATGATCCGGAACATCGGCAGAGAGGAGTGGACGAAAATGTGGCGAAGGCTGAAAGAAGTCGAGCAGTTCTTCGAGTTCCGGTACCCGTCGCGGCCGAATGACGCTGTGCAGATGATATGGCAAGCGATCGCGCGGAGGGTCCCTGCGGTTACAAGGAAAGTGAACCGGGCCAGTCGATTTTCAGAGACAGCTGAGTCGTCGGGAGAGACGTGGCTTTGGTCGGCCCCTCTGCCAAGGAACTTTACGTGAGATTCGACGACGACGACGTTTTTTCGAGGGGTATTGATGCAGGTTTCTGCAGAAAAAATACGCCATGGATGAGCTGTGGATGAGCTGTGGAAAGGTATAAGAGTGTACATTGTAAGGTTTTTGGATGATCAGCGACAGTTGAGGGCATTTTGTAATAACATGTGATGTGTTCGATCTGCATTTTCTTTAGTTTTGTTTTGAACAGATCGATCTTTAATGGAACTAGAGACATTAGAACGAGAAAAAGTTACATGGAAAAAGTGTGCTTGTTTGGCTTAGAGACGAATGCCGTTTTATCTTTGGATATGAACGTCATCGGAGTCGGCGGCAAAGGTGGTGGCAGCGTCGCTGAAGAGAGCAGCAGCAACGCGGGCAAGTTTCAGTTTTGTAAAAAGGTGGCTGGGTACGGAGAGAAGAGAATGATATTATTAAGAGGAAGAGATGAACTTAGAATTTAAATTATTGTTATTTTTTTTTTTATTAAAAGAGTAATAATAATAATAATAATACACGTGTTGCTTTTTTGTGGATTTGACTGTGTAGACCGTGAAAAAATTCTACCGATGATTCGATGCGCTTTTGATAAATATATTTATTACGGATCCATGGGATCATCTGTCCCAAAAATAAACTCTATTTTCCTATCCTCACATACATAGTGTGTATGTATATACACAATGTGTGTATGGGACAGCGGGACAGAATTTTGTCTGAGACAGACGTTCCCGTCCGATTACGGATGGTCTTATAAATAGAGTTATTTTAAAATTTAACATAAAGTCAATTAACTCTATTTGTGTTTTATTTTAAAAGCGAATAACCCTCTATATTTTAAAAGTAGCACCATTGTTATCTATATTTTGTAGAATTGCACAGAAAATAACCAACTAATAACAAATTGTATCACTTGCACGGTGTATGAGAATATGAATTTACTAAAATAGCCCCACCATCATTATAAAACTCATTGATGAATTTTCTTCATTAATATTGGCGAACATATTTACATTGTTGTTGGTGATTATCATTTTAAGAAAACAAATACGGATGGTAACCTCTCATATAAAATGACTAAAAACAAATTGAAGGACTCGATCTTTTCCAAAGCAACTAAAATAAATTCTTTCTTGCAGGATCCCCAAATCCAAGCTTTCTTCTGATACCTCGAACAGTCATTTGTGAAAACGTAGCAAACTCCAGAATTTGTGGAGGAACAATGCAACATATCAGCGCTCGATCAGGCCACCGAAGAAAAGATTTCGCTTGACCTTTATAGTGCCCATTTCCATGCTCAGCCAATGGTCGGGTTCCTTCACCAATAGACTTTTTGTTAGATCCCTCACCTGGAAACCAATCATCAGCAAGAACTTCAAATTCTGCATTATAGCATTTGCGAGCGTCTCCTCAGTTTTTGGCAACTGGCGCATCTAAACAACATCTTTCTGTAAAGCAGCTTGTAGAGGAAGACTCCGAGTGTTTACCAATCGACCGAAGATGTATTCTTTCCGGGACTGGAAACCCGAGCCAGTAGCCTTGTCTAGGTACAACGTTAGGAGCTGCCCCTTCTCGGCAATCTTGGCCTTCCCGTTGTCCACATAATTTGAATGTCTTTAGAAAAATTAGAACTTCTTGTTGTTGAAGAAAAATTTGCTACAAAAGGGTTGCTGCTACTGCTTGAAATGCAATTGATGATGTAACATCCCGGTTGGCTCAAATAAAAATATTACTGCCACATCAATTTAAAATGTCGATTTTACTGAGCCGGCCCGCCTTATGCGATGCTAAGGATTATATATTATAAATATCCAACCTGTATAAATAAATATTTTTTTTAAAATTTTTTTATAAGTACATTAAAATCAAACATATGTTAGTGTCTCGACTCGCAATTAAAATGATTGGACTATTATAAATAAAATAATAATTAATTGATTAATTATGTGCTCTCAACCTTGTATAAATTCCATCATGTTTCATAGGGAGAGTCCTTACCTAGATTACCTTCAAAATGTAGATTTAATATTAGCAAACTGTTGAGTAAATAGAACAAAATTACACAAGTAAATATAATTTAAATCATACATATTTATAAATTTGATGTTACATGGGTTATGGTTACCTTATTATTTTTCCGTTATATTTATTATGTTTAAAGATATGAGGAGTATTTGATTTAATATATACCATTTTGCTTTCTAGGCTTCCTCTGGGGTGCATTGCATAAAACATTTTTTGTTCTTTCGATATATATATTTTATTATTTAATACTGGCAGCAAGTAAAGTTATCCATAAATAATTGACATTATCCAAAATGCCTATGAATATCATCAATAGCACGGGATAAGGCAAATCAATCAGCAAAAATGTCTCTCGATAAATAATATAAAAAGTTTGATACCACCATAGATGCATCCAACCCTAACATCAAAGATATAACCAACAAGGTACAAATAATAGATGTCAATTAATCATATGGATAGTCGACATGTATCGCCGTTCACCACAAAGCTATCCAGCTCTCATGGTAGCGAAAATAGACCTATTCAGAAGATCTATTCCGTGTATAATAGTGAATTTGTTCACCCCAGAAATCACCCAAAAGAAACCCGAAAACTCTATTCCTCTTTGCGCTCTCATCCGGGATTGCGTTTAGAGGTGGCCAATGATCCTGAAATACTGGTATATCCTACTAGTGATCAGTCTAATTAGTGGATCAAAACCTGCACAAAAATGATTAAATAGGGTTATAAATAATCATAATCAAATCCAATCAGCAAAGCATACTGCAACACAAGTCAATTCGTTGTCTGACTAACTATTGTTACTACATAGTGTAACAATACATTAATATATGTATGCATGTTGGTGCCCTCGCTTAGCACTACCGTACACAAAAAATAACAGTAGAATCCAATAATTCCACAAACAGCAATTATGTTACATGTATAAGATATATGATTCACGAATACAATAAAGAACCAAGTGAATCACATTACTTCCGAGCCCAAAACAAAGAGGTACGGTACGTTTCGTATTTGATATTGAATCACGACAATACAATTATTAGACTATCAAAATTATGTTTCAAACACAAAAATTAAGTCGTGATTGAGTGTATGTAATTCCCATATAATTACTTAGCAGTTTTGGTAATTATATCAAGCTAACGAGCTTGATCAATATGATACTACCAGTATATTATTGTGATTGACAACTAGCTACATTTGGAAGCAAAATACATGTTTTATTCTATTCCTAGTTAGATTAATAATTCCATTATCATGCAATATCAACTATAAATTTCTTAATACATTCACCTTTATGCAATTTAAATAAAAACATATAAGCTATAAGCTTGCATATATAGTTTGTTAACATACAAGATGAGATACGTGGTTATTCAAAGGATCTAATAGCTTGCTCGAATGATGAAGTTTTAAATTAATCTATTGGTTTTTAAACTTTTTCTTATGATAGAATACTCTATCGTAATTATAAAAGCTTTGTACCTAATATCACTTTGACTGACAGATTTTAAAATAAAATATTTTAAGTTACGAATAAGCAGACAAGTCTAAAATACTGTCGAAATAACTTGAATTCGGATTAAACACTACAAGAAAATATCATTTTTGTAACGAGATTTTTTCGTCTTTAAATTCATTTTTTCCGTTACTAATGATATTAGAGACGAAATTAATGATGGAATTACGTTAGCTACGTGATCTTTAGGGATGAAATTCCGTTACAAATATACTATTTTTTTGTAGTGAAAGTGAAATTCTATAAATATAAACTTGGAGTTATATCTAACGTAATAACTTAAGAATTACCATAATTTGATGCTTACATAATCAATTATAAATTTTAATTTTTCTTTTTTTTTTTGTCAAATGTCTTATTTATAAAATAAATAATCTAAATTCTATTTAAAACTATAATTAAATTCTACTTACACAAAGAACACAATACCAAAATCAAAATTGAACTCGGATGAAGGAATATTTTCTTCTTCCTTCTTTTCTTTTCTTTTGTTCTCCAACGTTTTTCTTCTGTGCCATTTTCTTTGTTTGGTTTGTTGATTTCGAATGTATATATATATATTATTAGTTTTATATATGATAATTCATATTTATCCTAAACTTATAATATAATAATAATATTACTATTTTTAGTAATATTAATAAAATATTTAATTACTTCCTCTTACCAGTATTTATTCATACAAAATCTTTTTAATTATAATCGATATACAAAATATGAATCAAATTTATTTTATAATATTAATTTGTTGTCCCCATTAATATCATCAAAATATTCATTTGTATAATAATATTATTTTATACACTTCGAAATTAGAGTATTACAATTAAGCTACATCTGAGAGAAGTAGAGTAGAAAGAGATAAATGTTGGTAATAGGAGGATGGATGAATTTGTTTATATAGTGATGGATTGAGGAAAGTTCAATGGGGGTGGGTAATCAAAGCAAGTAGGATCGATGGCCTCTCAAATGATGGATATGCAAGCATAATAACTTATACGTTGTTCAATATCTTCATGAATCTAGGAACTTTTTCTTGCATTGTATTATTTGGTCTATAACATTCGAGATTATGCAGGATTATATACAAAAGATTCTTTTTTGGCATTTTCTTTAGCCCTATGCCTCTTATCCCTAGAGGGTCTTCCTACACTAGCAGATTTTTTTCGAAAAACTTTATTTATTCTTGTGTGGATGGCAAGCAAGCGAATCTTGTACCCCAACTTTTGCTCGAGTCATCAGCCAAAACTCTCCCAAAAATGGTGTGCAACTTCACGCACAAGTATTTTTCTATAAGGATCTTTGAGTTGTCCTACAAATTCATTCAAATTGATCATATCATATCATACATGTAAGAAAATTACTACTAATAAGTCATTGTATAAATAGCATGGATACAAACCATAGTCATTTTGCTAAAGTTTTTGATATTGTCTACAAATTAGAGGACACAAAACAAATAGAAATTACAATCACCAATAACACCTAATTTCAAATACCCCAAAATGGAAATTCAGAAATTAACTCTTACACCATAATCGAGCAACACATTGATGCTTTCTTCTTGGTCGATTGTAATGAAGTATGGTTACACCGTTCCTTTCAGTGGTGATAATTATTTGTTTGTAGTATTTGTGTGCGTTCTGTGAAATCTATGGTTGCTTCTTGTTGATTTTTTAACCCTTCGTGATCTTTGGTGCTTGTATGTGTTTATAACTCAATTAGATTAAATTTGCATGTATTCAAATTTATTTTTTTAACACATTATTTATTTAATTTTTGTTTTTCCTTTCAAAACATAATATCACATTTTTTATTTAATATATTACATATAAAAAAATTCTATTTAAATATCATATGATCACAATCCAGATTTTTCATTAATTCATAAACATAAAAAGAACACCAAAACACAATCAAATCTTAAAATTTTCTAATTTAAATTAATTTAAAGTACAAATACTTTAGAAACGACTGTACAGTGTGATAATATTTTAAAATTTGATAAAT